TATGCAAGAAATAAAGCCTTAGACACACCAGTTTTTTTTTCTTTTTTGGTTTTTTTTATTTTCTGTTGAATGTTATTTCTATATTTTCAACAGTTTTCAACGACTATTTTTTCCTTTTTCTACATCCCTCTTCGCTGCAGCACTGGTTCTGTGTTGATGATTATCAGAGGGTTGATATATTTTTCCGATAGCTCAAAACTTACTGAGAGATTTATATAGTTTATGCTTAGCTGAGATGAGCTAAACTACATTATGCTATAATATGCTATACTCTACTGTACGAAACAGCAAATTAAACCAAGCCAAGCTTCTCCTGGTCAAAGCTGTTTAGCATTATTTCAGTTAAAAGTCAGGTTTCAGTGCATGCCGACTCACAAAGAATGTATTTTATTGTTTGTTTTTTTTCTTGCTGATTCTTCCAAAATTGTTCTTTTTTTTCTGAAATATTTTGCAAATATTAATAGACAGCATCTGTGTTTCAATATTATTACCATATTTATTATGATTATGATTATTTCTGTTATTATTATGGTCATTAGTATTCGTTACTATGATCATGATTATGATTTTTCTCTTGATTATGATTCTAATTACGACCATGATTATGATCATAATTATCATTATTATTATTATCACTGTTATTATTATTGGTACTATGATTATTATTTTCAGATGATTTTTTACTTACTGAAAATACTTTGTTTTCACTTTCTTTCTTCACTTTTGTCTTTTATTTTCAGTAATATATTTCTAATTATTGGAATGTTCGTTTTCTTCAAGAAAAAAAAATTTTTTTGCTATTATTTCAGTTTTTTCTTTTTTCGGGCCTTATTGAACGTCTTGTTTAAAAGGAAAGGTTTTTTGTGCTATTTTTTCTTTTTTCTTTTTTTTAATTTTATTTTCGAAGATATTTGTAGAAAATGCCTGCAATGAAGTAGAATTGGCCAACTGAGATTGTCTACTTTATTTTTTCTGACGTCGTTGTTGTCGCCATCGTCATCGTCATCATTATCGTTTTTTTTGTCTTTGAATAGTTTAAGTCTTGAATTTGTTTTTTTTGGTATGTTTCTTTTTTTGTTTCTTATTTTTTATCTCAAAATGCATTTTATAACATATACTGATAAATGTCTAGAATCTGTGTCGTTTATCCATTCACATTATCAGGATGAAGGGATGCATAATGTTGTTGAAAAGTGAAAACGATGCGATGCAAGGGTACTGCAGTAGTATAATGATAATTCTCATCACTTTTCTATATATCCTTCTTTCTAAAACAACTTAGTTTTTTCTTTTTTTTTTTTTGGTACAACCGAAAAAAAAAGTTTTGGCTAAAACTTTGCTGGAATTATGCAGCAAGTTGTTACTTCGGTTTTGATTCAGTTTTGTCTGAATCTAGTCAAAAGTGGTCAAAGTAAATTGAACAATTTTCGGAACTCATAGAGATGTTTAAGTTGTTTGCTAATTCGTTTACCTGTTTTGGTTTCTCTTCAGCAGTACAAAATGTGTAGTTTTCAAATGTTATACAGCACCAAATTTATTGGGTAATTTATTGTAACTAAGCAAATACCAAGAAACAAGTGGTTTATATTTTACTGTGAAGCTAACACGCCAGTAGCGGTCCAGTTTTGAGATAGTAACAGTGACAGCCTTATTATTTCGTTTGAAAAAGTTAAAAAATTTAAATTACTTTTACATCAACAGGAAGCGAACAAGTTGCTACAACTCGGTCTTGCAAGTGAAAATCAAAGAAAAGAATGAACAGGGTACATACGTATCAACATATCTGTTATCTACTACCTTGGTTTAGTACTAGTTTAGCGGAGCTGTAAATTTTGGGACTTTAGGCTGCTTTAGTCGAGTTTATCAGTGATGAGCTGTTTTTTTTCTTGAATAAAGGGTCGCTGTTCGGATTAGTTGTCTCTTTGCGTGACCTGACATTTTTTTAAGAAGTAAAAAATATTATGCAGGGTTTTTAAAGTGTTTTATACTTTATTTCTACACTGTTTAAAAAACGATGAGGCTGATAAAGTGACTTTTGCTTGTTGCGTGCTTCTCAAGCATAATTGTAAAAAGAATTTAGGGTCAACTTTGCCTTGTTTGGGCCCTTTCTTCTTTTATCTGAGACGGAAAGTTTTTAGAGCACAATTGCATCAATAAACAGTAGCGAAGCTTTGTGATGATCACGATCAATTTTTGACAATTTAACGCTGAAAAAGAGATTTAGAAAGCAGAAATCCTAGTGTTCTGTAAAAAAGTTTATTTCTTTCTTGAATTTTCTTTTATAAAGACACTCTAATTTTTAGACGATTAAGCTAAAAAGCTTTAGTTACGCCAAAAAATTATTACAGATTTTGATTACTGTTGACACACTGCGAAAAATCTTTCTACAACTTTCTCACTATTCTTTGTCTTGATATATTGCACACATGTCTTGAAAGCAAAACAAAATAATCCTAACTGAAATGGACGATCTAAGATGAAGAAGTCAAAAAGCATGAGACAAGTTTATAACAAGCCATTGTTTGTACTTCAAAACTTTTGCTTACAATATTCTGTCTGTGCCGTTATCCCAAGTCCCATAAAATTGTGACTTACCGGATAGAAGTTCACGAAACAAGTAAAAACTTAGTTTTATAGTTGATAATAGCTGTTGTCCAAAAACTTTTTATGTTTTTTTATTTATTTGAAGCATAGATTAAAAAAATTGCCAACAGCTAATTACAATTATGCTTTTAAGAACCGTCGCTGTTGCAGATACGTTTTATGTAAGTAGCGTCGGAGTTCAGTCCGACATTGATTATGTACCTGAGAATCAGTATTCGCCACCGATGCCACCACGGATGCCTGAAAATCGCGCTCCAGAGCCTCCGTCTATGCTAACTGCAATAAACTCAGTTAAATTGAGAAAGTCTAAGCCAAGAGTCTCAGAACCTCCAGAACCTCCACCGTTAGTACAGCCGCTAGCACGACAAGCTGATGAGCAAGAAGAAGAAGAAGAAGAAGAAGAAGAGGAGGAAATTGTACGACCAAGGATTGATGTTAGAAGAAGACGTAATGTTTTACTATCATTTCCTCTGATGTTTTCTCTCTACTGCATTAAAAAACGTTACTTATTGTAACATCAAATAAAAAAAATCCGGTTCATTAAAAAAAATGAAAAAATTGATGAATCTCAGCTGGAGCCGAGTAGAATACTAAAAACTTGAAAAATAAGTAAATTTAAGCAAAAATTAGATGTACTTTGCTGAAATTTTTTTTAACAGTATAAACTTTGCAGCACCTGTTGCTTACGTGAAAGAAATTCTGGAAACTGTTGGTAAAGCTAAGGGTGGAAATATTCTTGAAAAACAAAAATACCGACCGAAACCAGACCGAATATTGCTCACCGAAAAATCTGATCCAGCAGAAGTTCAAGAATGGTTGTCAGAAAAAGGATTCAGCATTTGGTAAGTTATTTTTTTTGAAGATTTTCGTTTAAACTTTTTTTAACATAGTTTTTGACATTCACTCTTAACTCACCTAAATCATCGACAATTATGGTCGAAGCTCTTAGTGTAATTAGTTAATATTTTGAGATCATCAGAATTTTTTTTTTGTTGCGGTGGTTTTAGCGAATTGGAAGATTAATGTTGATTGGTCGTACCATTTAGAGTAGTTTTGTACGTTTTTTTACAATAAACACTTGTGTTTTCTATTCTCAGTTAAAATCTACATAACATGAAAGGTTGTTTGGCACGTCTGGAATTTCAGAAAAAACTAGGACTTTTAAACGATTAATTGGGTCAATTGGTTTTTGCATGCTATTTTGAACAGTCTTTCACTTCTTTACTGAGCCAAAAGTTTAGCATTTTAGCAGTAAACTGTCGGTAAACTTTCCTACTGTAAGTTCTCATTATATAATCGACTTTTTTTTCAATTTTTTTTAGAATTCAAGGGAATAAAATAAAATCAAGAATTTATGATACTAGCAGCCACTTTGTATAATAAGAATCCAGCTTCAGCCTGAAAAATAATTTTTTCTAAAGCAGTTATCTTATTGTTGATTGTATTTAGCAAAGCTAGGGTCAAATCATTATAAGATTAAATGTGTTCTACTTAAATCTTTTTTCCTTTAACTGCAAAAAAATTTCGGTGTAAGAAGGAGGTTATTAGAGAGCAAACTATAGTTTTTTGGTGAAGCAAAATTTATTGGACTAAATTTGTTTTATTAACAGGGTACATCAAATTCTGGAGCTACAGAACGGTGCTAACCTATTTTCACTAAGCAAACCGAAACTAGTTGAAATCTGCGGTCGAGAGGAAGGAAGTCGATTATACAGTCAATTGTTGCTCCAAAAAAATAAATCTGGGGTACTTTTAAAATGCTTTTTTTTTTGAACAAGAATTTTTTAACAAATATTTTCACTTTATACAAATATATCCAAAAACTTTAAGAAAACTGTATCTTATGGAGAGATAAAATGCCACCAAGGAAGAATACTTTTTTTTTTTTGTTTTTCGGAATGTCAAAAATGACCAGCATTTTTGTTTTCAGTACAATACTCCAACAGCAGCTGAACTGAAAGCAATCTTGAAACATCGAAAGATGCAAGTGGAAACAAGTAACGAAGCTTCTGGCGAAGAACCATCTGAACCGGCACCTGAAACGCCAAATGGAACTCTTGCCGATCTGTTTACTCCACCTGAATGATTGCAGGAAAACCGTGCACTTTGGTAGCGGATGCTATCATATCATAAAAATAGATGTTTAGCCGACAGTGTATTTAATCAGCATTTAAAAATGTCGATGAATAACTTTGAATAAAAATGAAAGGAATTTAAAGATACACTTTGCATTAACAATTATTTTAGCAAAAAAAAAAAGTTTTTTTTCTTAATTTACTTATTTGTTGTGTTGACCAGTATTTTCGTATGCAAATTGCTTTTTTTTTGTTTTTTTTTTCTCTGTCTTTGTAGCTTTGTTTTTGTACTTTTTTTCGCACAGTTTCTATTTTTTTCTTGTCTGAAAACGAGTTTTGTGAGTCAAATGTAATTCAGATTTTGCTGAAAAAAGTATGTGAACTTTATTCAAGCGGTATAGCTTTATTAAATGCACAGAGTTTTTTCATAGTATTGTCGTTGTTATGTATAGTGAAGTGTGTTAAGTTCAACTGTTACAGCTTTTAGTGTCAAAGGGAGAACTGCCGAAAGCCAATAAATGGAAAAGCTTTGTGAGATATTCAGCTGATATTATTAAGATTCTTTTTTTTATTTTACTTTTTATTTTAAGCCTTTTTATTCGTGAAACGGATTTACTGATATGCTGTGATGTGAGATTTTCTACTTAGTCGACGTTAAAAATGCTAGATGTCAGATGTAGAACACAGATTTTTTAGACTATCATATTGTTATTATGTTATAAATGTAAGAGATTTTACAAACCATCATCTACTTCGGCAAAAGTTTATTTACCAGTCTGTGATAATTTTGTTTTGTGCTTTTCGTTTCTGATTTTGCTCATCGATATAAAAATGCCTTTTTTGCCATCTTCGTACAACTGTTTTGGTAATAGAACCTTAAAAAGTTATGAACAAGCTTTTTATTTTCATATTTCATTTGATTATAGTTTTATACAGAAACCTAACGAACGATTGTTATACTTTTATATGCTATAACATTAATAAACAATAATATATGGTATTTTGTTTGAATATAATAACAGATTGTCTTGAATGGTCTGGTGAACAAGGAGCTATAGACATTTCAATTGGAGAGGGCATACTGCACATATAAATAGACGTAAAAATCACTGAACAGTGTACCTTTGCGATCACAAAAATTTCATTTTGTCAATTAGTCTTAATTGACAAGAAAATTTTAGTTTAATAACTAGTAAATTATGCAGGTTTCTCTTTTGGCTAGAAAGATGATAGGATGAGAAGTGGGGAGAGGGAAGAGGCACCGCGGCAGAAAAAAGAGAACAAAAAAATGAGGAGATAGATAAATACTGTTGTCTTTCAAAATTTGATCAAAAGATTTGAATAAAATTTAATTTTTATGTCTTATAAGCTGCGTTAAAGTGAACCTCCAGTTTTAGAAGGTGCTTAGTAATATGATTTGTGACTGTAAGTTTTTGCAAAATTGTTGGTGTAGTTGAGATATTGAAACTTTTTTCCTGTTAACCATCTGTTATAAAACTTTTAGGATTTTGTAATCTCTGTAATCATTCTTTATCAATCTCTCAAAAACGGCTTAATTTTTATAGATGAAAAGGCGTAATTTAATTACAATGTAATTTTGAAATAAATTTTTTAGAAAAAAGTTTTCAAATGGATATTTTAAAACGTTTTCAAGCAGTCACACTAACCAATTTATTGTCCTAAAAATTGAAAAAAAAATCGTTTTTTGCTGTTTTTTACTGCTGTTTTTTAGCACTTAAGATTTGCGGCAAAAAAAAAAAGAACTTCATGAAAACAGATTTCATTTCTTGATGTCGATCAGTAAACCCAATTGGCAATGAATTATTACTATTAATGTTATTATTAAAATTTTTGTTTGATGTAGCCGTACCTTTACCAACCATTTTTATGGTCATGAAGAACATTTTTGCAATTTTATAGCTGTTTTCGACAAACAGGGAATAGTACAGTGCTGCTGCTGCATTTGTAGTTTTCATCAGTGTCTCGTATATTGGTCTCAGCGTTGGCAACCAAAAGTAACGTTGATCTTTTGTTCGACGTTTGCCATCAGAAGCACCAAATATTTTTGAATAAAGTTCGTCTGTTACAAGTCATTAAATCAAGCAACAATTTAAAAGCTTGATAAGCTGCTGTTTTGATGTTTTATTTACTCAAAAACTTTCAAAGTCCTACAACTGTTTTAATCACTTT